TACTTAATTAATTTATTTTTAAGTTTATTATACTTATTATTATATTTAAGTATTTATCTTAAGAGTTCCTTAAGTATCTTAAGTATATTTATATATTCTAAGATATACTTTTAGAACTTCTTTAATTATTAGTTAATTTCTCTTTATTCCTTAAAAGGTATTATCCTTCCTTAAAAATAATTTATAATTTATTCTCTCTTATTTATAGATATAATTCCTTATTCTTTATTAGTTTCTTTATCTTTAATTAATAATACTATAATAACTTATTTTTAATATTAATATTTATTCTCTTCTTAATCTTATTATTACTTTAGGGATTTCTTTATATAGTTCTTATTATTATCTCCTTACCTTACTATATTAAGTATTAATTATTTTATATATAAATAATTTAAATACTTTTAGTTATTATATTATTTAATATATCCCTTATAATTATAAACTATTTAGTTTTCTTAGGTTTTTTATTTATATTATAGCTTAATCTTATTTCCTTTATAGATTTTATATTATTATTCTTAATATAATTTAGTTAATAGCTCCTTAAATTTATATTCCTTTAAGTATTACTTTAAATCTTCCTTAAAGATAAAGTATTAATTAATATTAAGTAGTTTATTTATAAAATAAAGTATTTATTTATTAATATACTTAGAAGGTATCTTTCTATTTAGTTAAAGAAAAGTATTATTTTTTAGTTTTTATTATTAATAAATTATATAAAATATATTATAATATATTATTTATAATTCTATATAATATTTAGTTTTTAATATACTCTTTTAATAACTTAATAGCTTAAAAAGGCTATTAAAGTAATAAATAATATTAACTATCTTTTACCTATAGACTATAAGTACTTATATAATAGCTAGATTTTATATTTTAATCTTTAATTAGTAATATATATAAACTTCTTTATATTTTATTTATATTATATTCTTTATTTATATATAATATCTTTTTTCTTTTAGTATATATTTTATAAACTTATTATAATATTAAAATACTATTTTATACTTTATTAAAGGATTATATTTTAAATTAGTTTCTCCTTTTTTATACTTCCTCTTTATATTTTAGAATATTTCCTTAATTTATTATTAATTTTTCTTTACTATATTAACTTCTTATTATTCTTAATTTTCTAATATCTTAATAAAGATAGGTATAAATAATATAGAAAATTTAAAAGTTATTATATTTATAATAATTCCTTTCTAAATCCCTTTTTAAATTACTTTTAAGGTTTTATTCTTAATTTTCTTAATTATTCTTAATTATCTTTTACCTTCTTTAATAAGCTTTTAATTATATTACTTCTTAGGTTTTAAGTATTAAGGAGAGATATATCTTATTTCTTTATAATTATAGTATTTCCTTTTTTTTATAATCCCTAGCTCTATAGAGCTTATATATATCTTAAACTTAGTAAATAGTAGAGGAGTTTATTATATTCTTTAATTAGGTTTATTTATAAACTTAATATAATTCTAATTACTATATTTATTCTTCTTCTATTACTTTTATTTATATAAATAATTATTAATCCTTATTATATTTACTATATACTTAAATAAATTATCTAATTCCTTAAGTTTATAAAATTAATCTTTTATTTTTTCCTTTAGCTTATTATAAAATACTACTTTAAGGGGTTTATTATCTTAATCTAACTAAATTATAACTTCCTTAAACTTAATAATATATTTTAATATAAGTTCTACTTACTTAAGATCCTTAAGATCTTTAATAACTTATTATTCCTTATTTATTATACTAAATATAAAGGTAATTATTATAATAAAGTTAATATAATTAGTAAGAATATTAATAATCTCTTAATCCTTATTCTTTAACTTAGCTTTATTATTATATTAATCCTTTAAGTAGATCTAGAACTATTATTTTATAATATTAATAAGGTATATCTCTATATACTTAACTTATTCTTCTTTACTTTTAAGTCTTATTAGAAAGAACTTAAAGTAAGCTTAAAGTTAGAGTTTAAACCTTTTTAACTCTTTAATATCTCTAAAGAAAGGTTCTAAAGAAGTTAATTAAATAACCTCTTTTTAATCTTTCTTTTTCCCCTTCTTAAGCTAATTAATCTAAAGTATAAGATTCTATATTATCTCTTAAGTAATTAGCTTTATTAAAGTATTATTAATAAATATAATAAAAGCTATAATATCTTCTTTATTATTATATAGTAATTAAAATAAGGTAATTAACTAAATAAGAGTTATTAATATATAATAATTAATTAACTTATATTAAATAAGGTCTAAAGTAAGTTAAGGTTAAACTAATTAAGGTATTATTCTAAGTAGTATAATTAAGTTATTTAAGTACTATATAAATTATTATTAATATATAAGTATTAAGGAGCTAGTTTTAATAAAAGTAATAGTAATAGTATTAATAACTATTTAAGAGAGTATTTCTATTTAAGGAAAAAGAATATATATATATATATTATATATAGAGCACTAAGAGTATATTACTTCTAGCTAACTTACTAATTTTATAATAAAAGTATAATACTCTTATTACTTTAATTCTAAGGTAGGTCTATATATAACTATATAACCTATTTAGGAGGCCTTTATTTATAATAAAAATACTCTTTAAGCTCTTTATTTAGTAATATATTTATCTAGCTAAAAATACTACTTATATATTAGTAGTATATATTAAGGTCTTCCCTTATAGATACTAGAACTAAAAACTTAAAACTTTATTATATAGAACTACTATTATAGTAATAAATAATAGTTTTTAATAGTTAAACTATTTAATTTATAATAATTAATATAAAGTTATAAAGTTCTATTTAACTTTAGTATAAAAAGAATTAATATATTAATAAAGCTTTTTTAATATATAAATCTATTTATTTTTAAAATTTTTATTAAAATAATCTTTTAATTAAATTAGCTCTATTAAAGATAAAAAATAAATAAATCTATAAAATAGCTTCTTTTTATTTTAAAGTTTAATTTAATAATTTATAAATTTATAATATAGAAGAATTATAGCTTTATTAATATTAAAGATATTTACTTATTTCTAAAACTTAATAGAAATCTTATTATCTCTTTAAATCTTTATAGAGTATTTATTTAGAAATAATATAAAATCTTTTAATATTTTAATAGTAAATATTTAAATCTTCTTTTAATATTATTAAAGAATATAAACTAAATATAAAAGCTTTATTTATTTTAAAGATAAATTATATTATTATTATTTTATTTTTAAATAAATAAAAATATTTTTATTCTTTAATATAGTTATAAATAAAAGAATTAAATTTCCTTTTAATTTTAAATTTTTATTAATAGTAATATATATTTAGAAGTATAACTAAATAATACTATAAGAATTCTTAAAGATAATAAAGACTCTTTAAGCTTTATAAGTTAAAATTATTATTTCTTTAATAGTTTAAATAAAGAGAATTAATATTTTAATTTACTTTAAATACTTTTTTATTAAAGTATAGCTTATTATATTTACTTTAGCTTTTATATTTAAATTTATATAAATATTAATAATCTTTTATCTTTATAGTTAAATAGAAATATTTAATTACCTTATAATTTAAATACTTTACTATTTAATTAGAATTAAACTTTTTATTTTAATTAATTATAGATTTTTCTAGAAGCTTAATAACCTTTTAGAAATCTCTAGTTAATTTAATCTTTTATAAATTAGCTTAAAATTACTTAATTAATTATTTCTTTATTTAAATATAATAAAAGCTTTAAATAATATAATATTAAAAAGTAAAAAATTCTAATTATTATTACTTAATTAAATTTATTTTTCTTATAAAATTATTTAATTTTCTTTTATTATAATTAAAGACTTTAAATAATTTAATAATTTAATAATTAATCTTTTTATATTAAAAAATATATATATTATTTTTTATTATATTATAAATCTTATTATAAATATTTTACTTTTATATAAGCTTCTTTAAATATTATAAACTTTAATATATAAATTATATAAATTTATTTTTAATTATATAAAAATAATATAAACTTTAAATTTATTATTTTATTATTTTAATATTATATAATAATAGTTTTATAATATAAATAGTATATAAATTTATTTTTAATATATTATATAAAGATTAAAAAAAATTAGAAAAAAATTAAAAAGTTAAACTTTTTAAATAATTTTTTTTAAAGTTTAATTAAAGAGATATAATAATAAAAGAGTTATAATATTAATATTATATTTTATAGTTACTTTATATTATAATAACTACTATTTATATTTATTAAATTAATTAATAATTAATTAAACTTAAATTTAAATATAAAAAAGATTTTACTTTTTCTTTTATTATTTATATTAAAATATTAATATATAATAATTAAAAGAATTATTTCTATTAATATATTATATAATAATTATACTTAGCTTACTCTATCTAAAGACTCTTTTTTTAAAAATAAAAATAAACTTCTATTTCTCTCTAACTAGATCTCTTTTCTATTTACTTACCTCTCCTCTTTAATATCTTAGTCTAGGCTATTAACTATTAAGTATTTATTTAATAATAGTACCTTAATCACTTACTTTAATCTCTCTCTATTCTCACTTGACATGCTATGAAAGATAAATATGGATAGTTTGGATAGTTTCAAAGGCACTGCAATTTTATGGTTAAGAGCATTGTCGATCCTGTCCGCTGCATAGACCATCCTGGTAATTAAGACTATATACCCCTGGCAACTTAATTAATTTCTTCACCACCAGAGGTAGACACTTAGATAACAATGCTAATGCCCTTATTGCTGATGTTGAAACTACCTTGAAGCAAGCTGCTAGTAATAATAATCACTACAACCACTATAACGAATTCGATGAAGTTGTTAAGCTCATATATTGATATATTAAGCTTCATATCCTCCAGTAATGATACCGTCGTTCAATCTTAACCATTGCCTGTTTGGCTCCACTGAACTGCCCTAGAATGCTCGGTTTACTCCCTCCCAGCCCGGGTTTGCATCATGCGAAACCAACAACTGACCTGGCCAAGATGCCACCGGTGCCTTGGCCCTATTTTGCAGTGCTTGGCGAACAACCGCATCACCAAGGACCTTTTCAATGTCGAGACGCGGGAGCCGCTCCTGGATTATCTCGAGGTCTGATTCCTGCAACTCCGGATTGGCTTCCTTTAATTCCGGACCACAAAAACCCCCAAACTCGGCCCTAATGGCTCTACGGAAAGCTCCCGTGGTGCCGCTGAGGTGCTCGGCCACGCCGGGCGTGGAATGGAGCGACATGGCCAGCCAGGCCTCGCGGATGGACGCCTCGCCCACGCCAAACTTCCTGAGCAGCTTGGCGGCTTCCTGGGCACCGACGACCTCGAAGCGGGTGGCGTCGGCGTCGTACTCGGGCCCCGTGGCAAGGTCGTGGAACAGGCAGGCCACAAACAGCGTGTGCGGCTCGAGGAAGACGGGCTCAATGGACACGCCCGTGGGAGCTGGCTCCCGTTGGAGGAGAGAGGAATAAGACTTGGCGTAGATGTACGTGGGGAGGCTGTGATTGAGAATGGCGGGCGACAGGGTTCGAAGAGCAATGTCCAAGGCTGCTTTGGCTACGGGGTGGTCGGGGACTAGCCGCAGCAGCGCCCGGTCCAGATGGTTGGGCGTAATTTGATCGTGGTGCTGCGCATTGGAATGGCACGTGGTGGTTTCTTGCTGTAGGCACAAAGGTGTATGGAAGAAGGAAGAGGATCCTTCCTCAGAAGCGTTCTGCTCTATGATTAATTGTCGTTGGCGAAAGAGGGGATAGAGTAATACCTACGGAGGGATGGTCACGCAAGCAAGCTGACAAATACAAATATTCGTCAAGTCGAGATCCATGTCAACCGCCCCTACTCTCAAGGACTTTCCTGTCTCGGCCATTGCGTCTGATTTCACAGCAGCAATAATGGAATTAGGCGTTCTCTTTTCTTATTGTGACCCGCCCCCATGGCTTCCGAAGTTGAACTAGATGGACGATGCTTGTCTATCTAGAAGAAAGTTCAAGACGCAAGTCATATACAGGCTGAAACTTCATTCTTGACCTTGGTGGTGAGACAGATGCCACCGCTTCATAATTCCATAAACAGGTGGTTCTAGTTTACCGCAATGCCTTTTCACAGCCCCCTCCTTGGCGACTGAATCAAAGAGCTGAAGGCGATGAAACTCAACTTTCTGCCGGCCAGCTCACTTCTAGGGTGCCCAATAGATCCATGCGACCTGCTTTGCCTCCCCACCCAGGTGAGGCCCCAGCTGGCTGATCTTTCCTCTAGCCCGTTGATGACGCCAAGCCAGACGTTTCGCCAGTGCTGTGGGATTCATTTTGAACTCATGTCTCTCGGTCATTGACTGTGCTTTCAGTTACAGATGAAAGACGATGCCTCTAGACGATATGAAACAGTATGAGCCGTGACATTAAATTATGGGGGCGTGAACAAAGAGGAAGGAGTAGGGCACAAGTTATAGAAATAACCGAAAAGAATCCTCTATGCGTTGTGAACACTTGTATTGGGACTGATTACTTTTCAATAAAATGAAACAGACAAATAAATGAAAACAGCTGGCATTTGCTTCAAAGCCTGTTGATCAGATGGTCAACAGTGGGTTTTCGGCAGGCCCTTCACTTTCGACATACTCACTTATAGCCCTTCCGAGAGTGCTGGCATGCACCAAACTCCGAGGCATCTCCCCGCCACCGATACTGCTGATGCAAACACAGCACATTTCCGTCGAAGACCCAGTTTTGCGCGTTTGATTCACCTTTGTTCGCAAGACATCCACCACTTTGAACCAGCACCCACTCGCCAGTCTGACTCGGTGCAATTCAATCTTATCGATGCTAGTTCCCATACCTTGAAAAAGCCCTTCCATTTGTGTTTGGGTCATGGATATGCCCGAAAGTTTGAAGCTTTTGATCTGGGGCCAGGAGATACCCCCAAGCAGTCTCCCCAGCGAGCTCCACGTGGTTGCTGGGATATCAGCCCAGCCAGTCGTGTATGGAGTGCCGTCTATGATTACCTCTTCGAGGTGCTGACTAGAGAGCAATGCAGAAAAGTAATCATCAAGAGTTTTCTTCTGCGTCTTTGAAAGCGATGACGGCTCCTGGCGGCGATGGACTTGAATTCGCGGCATATTGAGGACCTTCAGCTGCTGAAATGCCGCGTTGACCCCCTCCCAGTCCCTGCTTGGTAGATCTGCCATGGCGCTAAGCGGATGGGCTAATAACGCGTAGCTCAGCTGAAACGCATTCACTACTCCACCGGCCTGATGGATGGCAATCGGGAGATCCGAGATGATGCCAACTGCTTGGTGCTGCTGTTCATCGTCCTCGACATACTGCTCCTGAGAACAATGCACAGGTGATGCGGTGTAGTAAGTAGACATGATTAATTCGGACCTGAAGATGGTCTGGTCATCGGTTCCCCCCCGTATCGGGCCACCCAACTCGCTTTCGAATGTGTCGAATAACTCGAGTAATATTGGGTGCGATGCCTGGGCAGCCAGGCGAGCGACGGCGCCGATGAAGGATCTCTCCGAGAGTAGTTGCGCCTGCACCTCGTACGCCCGCGAGTACCCCTCGTAGCATTTGCGGAGAAGCTCCTCATACCTGGAGACCTGTTCCTCATCTAGTGTTTTATCTAATCCATCTGGCCTTGATCCAGAGTCGCTATCAATGCCCAGCACCGCCTTGTGGCAGTCTTGACTAACCTCGCCCTGCTCGAATGCTGGCGAATGTTTCTCGCGTAGGCCTCCATGGCCTCGTCACCGAAGCCTTGGCTTCGTTCTACGGCTGATGCAGCCCGCGCAAGACTTGAACTCATGAAAATGATACTGGAACCGTCGTTGTGATGCTCTAGCCACCTATCGAAGCTTCTTGCAAGCACCGTTGGGCGATATGCGAGGCCGATCCGGATGGATCGGACGCCAGAGGCCAGGAGGGGGTTGGAGGAGATGTTTTGCACGTGGTCCAGGGATTTCTGGTCGAGCGAGAGCCGGATAATGGGGCAGAGTAATGGGGATGCCAGGCTGTTGAACAGTCGGGACACGAGGCGCAGAGATTGGACGGCCTGCCGGTTAGATTCAGGGAAATTGCGGGCAATGCTCATACCAGTAATGTCTTTCAACACAACTGAGCACCGGAAGTTGCTGATAATAAGCACCAAGAGCTCTACCGACAGATCCGTCAAGCGGACATCCCTCGTTTGCCCGCGTGAGAGAAACACGGCCCTCGATCGAAGGGCTTCGCGTTGTCGGCCGATGCATTCCGCCGCATGTCTCCGGATGACCTCCGAGGCTAATGAGAAATATTGCCATGATCCTGCTGAAGTCCACCGCACCTCTGTTTCCCGTTCCGCTCCTAAACTCGGCGGCAGATACTGGCTCACGACTTGGTCGAGTCTATCAATGCGACGAAGCTCCTCGTAGACGGAAGCGAGGTCTGTACAAGAATCGGCATAGGTCCAGTCTTCTGGAACAATACCATAAGCCGCAAGATTTAGAGATGGGGTCGCCATGGTCTTGTGCCCTCCGGTGATTAAGTTGATGAGCGAATGATGAATACCGGTGAGCGGGGGGAAGTGACTGAACCAGGGAGGCCAATCTACGACCCTGTAAGGATGTTAGGCATCTGTGGGTATTCTGGGTTAAGGATGTTAAAATAGTACACTGTAGTGTACTACAGAATAACTGCTGTTTTAGCTGGGTATTCTATTGTTGGAACGAACGATCAAGAAGATTGAATTGATTGTGTGATTGTTGCTTGTTGCCCCTCTTCCGGCTGTGCCGAGGGCTTCCTTATCTGTATCTATCTGCATTACATCCAAATACAGCTAGTATAGTCATGTGACGGTCCTTTCTTATGTAACGAGGAGCGTTTCCTCTATTTGGGCCTCGCCCCTTTAGTCATCACCCTGAATACCACGATGCCTCGGTCCAACATCTAAGGAGTAAAATTATTACCCTAGGTTGCCAGCAACCTCAGACTGATTTCAGTTTTCTGGCTTGGTCGAGTGTATGGTTGCCAGCAACCTCGGACTTTTCTGCTTCCTGTGTTTGCTATGGTTGCTAGCAACCTCAGACTGATTTCAGTTTTCTGGCTTGGTTGAGCGTATGGTTGCTAGCAACTCTGACTTTTCTGCTTTCTGTGTTTTCCAACCTTGGATTGATTTCATTTTACTGTTCTCAACTCCAACTTTTCTGCGGTATTGAGATGGATGCGGCCTCTGATTGGTCTTGTTTTTCTGGTCTGAACTGGGTGGGCTTATTTGGGATAGAAGACGGTTGAGCTGAGGCCAGGAAGCAGATAGCAGAAAACAGGATCCTGTTGTGGCCAGGAGCCATCACGGAGATCTGGTAGAGTAACAACGGGGAGGGTTACAGCCGAGCCATGTGAGGTAAAAGGACAGGAGATTGGGCACGACCAGGTTGGGGGGGTCCGTTGACCCTTGAAAAAGTCTATCTGCTGAGGTGCGTCCCTAAGCCATCAGGTGAGCCAATAGTGAAGCCTGTCGGCTCACTGCGTCCAGTAGTCTTTCCAATCATATTCATTACCATTCTGTCGGGCTCGATAAAATGTCTTATTGTGTTGGGCGAGGGATCTGAGTGGCCCTGGCTGAGTCTCTTGGTGATTGAGTGCTGTACTCTACGCGCCTACTTCCGGTTTAAAGCCCCCCTCTATTTCGAGAGGCTAGTAACTAATAGTTTATGCGAACGGCCGAGAGTGTCTATATGTATTCCTGGTACTAGTATATTAAATAATACATGATTCTCTTAATTGTATAAGATACTACACGCTTAAAGCCAACAGGGCTCCTTTCCTCTTCCCTACTGTAGAGACTATAGATCACCTGACCCCCCCCTCCCCTGAGTTAACTTAATTTAATCTCCTCTCTATAAAAAAAAAACCTCTATTAAGATACTACTAATTAATTAAAGTAAGTATCTTTTATTATATAATATATTACTTTTTTATATAAAGTAATAATTATAAAGAATTTAATTATATAAGATTTTCTATTAAGTTTTTAATTAATTTTAAATTAATTTTAATTATTAAATTTTAAAATTAAATTTAATATTAAATACTTAAATTAACTTATATTTAGTTTTTAACTAACTATAAAATTATTATTAAATATTTAATTAAAATTAATAATAAATTAAATTATTAATATATTAAATAATTATAATTATTTAATTTATTTTTATAATAAAATAAATTATTAAATAATTTATATTAAACTAAAAAAATTTCTTTTATTATTAAAGTAAGTAAGAGAGCTATATAGTTATATAGTAGCTATTAAAAAAAAAAGGGAAATTCCTAAATACTAAAAATTAAATAACTTAATATTATACCTAGTATTATAATATATTAACCTTTAGCCTTTTTACTTAACTATAAGGCTTATACCTAGCTATATATAAGGTTTAATACTAATAATAGCTTATACCTTAAATATAAGTCTTTTATTAATATAACTCCTTTTATAAACCTTAAAATACTACTTTTTATCTATTTAAAGGCTACTATCCTTAGCCTTAATAGGAAGATAAGGTATATACTACTATAAATATACCTAATAGAACTATATAGCTTAAGTCTATATTAATAATCTATCTATAATCACTATAGATAATTTAACTATAATATATTACTACCTTCACTACTTTATATATTACTACCTTTATTACTCTACTAATAAATAAGTATATTAAGCTCTATCTTTAAAGTAGTTAAGAACTTATATATACTTAAGTCTTAAACATCCTACTAAGCTTATACTTACTATTAATCTTATTTAATCTACTTTAACCTTATAACTATAAGTAGAATATATAAATATCTTAAAGGATATATTAAGATACTAAAGTATAAGCTACTAAAGGTACTAGTACCTACTATTAGGGATAAATAGCTATATAATTAGTTAATCCTTAAGCTTCCTACTATAAATATAAGTAACTATAAGCTTATAGGTGCTACTAAGGCTATAGGGTTATTAAAGATTAAGGTACTTTAAGACCTTAATCTCTAATAGCTAGTTAGCTTATTTAACTTTAGTAGTTATATTCTTAATAGAACTAACTCCTTTAAAGAGGAGGATTTAGCTAATAAGAGTAATATTACTTAATAGTACTTCTACTAGTTAACCTTTCTAATCCTAAAGTATATATTAATATAAAATAGCGATTATAACTACTATAACCTCTAGCTAATAAATATACACCTATCCTTACACCCCCCCCTTTTATTATTAGAAAAATATCTTTATATAAATTCTTATCTAATTACTAAATTTATATATATTTAATTAATTATTATATATTATTTACTCTAAATACTAGTTTAATTCTAGGCTTTAGTCCCTTTACTCTATCTTTAAAATAGGGAAAACCTTTCTAAATATAGGATAAAAACCTACTTTCTATTATTCCTTTTATATCTTAAGTTGGCCTTATTAGTGTTATTTTGCCGAGGAGCTGAAATCTATAGAGGAGATAGCACGCGTCGGTCCGAGGTGTTGAGCTAGGTTAGGCGATTGATTATAGCGGTCAGGTTAGCTATTAGCACACCTAAACGCTCTCGTAGCATCTAATGAACAGCTAACAGGCGATATAATTCAGGAGTGATAACTATGTCTTAAATGATATATCATTTCGACGTAGCTAGTTGACCTATATGTGAGATTCTATCTAGGCTCTAGGTTGTATATAAAGAGGTTAACCCTATAGCTATACCGGCCGGTCAAGGTCTAGTTAGTTTAATATTTAGTTGTAACTAGTCTAGCTAGACCTATCTCTATATAGTAAAATAGGTGAAGGCTGTTTTTCTTATAGTCTTTGCTACGTTGTATTATATCACGGCTAACTACTTAGCTAGGCTTACGGCTTGCTTTATAGATGAAGCGTGGTTTCTTGGGGTTTAGGTGATTTTAGTATATAGGGTCCTAGTAATAGCCACTCCCTGCTAGCTTAACTTTAGGGAGGCATAATTTAATTCTCGTCTATAACGTTTACCCTATTATACTATGCTATTAACGCCTGCTAGCCCTTATTATTAGCTAGCTTAACTTTAAAAGCTATATCTTAAGAAGCGATATAAGAGAGTAGAGCTTCTAATAGTATAACTCTTAATTCTATAGCTCTAGCTATAATAGATATAACTATATATACTTTATATATCTTCTCTATATAAAAACAATTTAATTACTATAGATTTTATTATATATTAATTAACTAGATAATATTTAGAGCTACTAAAGCTAGATATATTCTATTTAATTAATCTATATTATAGTTAGCTATAAGATTATTTAAGAATTAATTTATAAATTTTATAACCTCCTTATAATAAAACTTATTATTATTAAGTATTAAGAGTGCTTTATAGAGTAATAGAATATAGTAAGCACTTAAAAGATATATATTTAGTATTAATAGTATTATAGCTATATCCTCTCTAGTATAATATTCTTTATTAGCCTTAATATTATCTATAGTAGTATTTAATACTTTAGGGAGAGGACTTATTAAATTTCATAATATCTTATAATAGCCTAGGTTTATTTCTTTAATAGGGGAGGCTAGTCTATATTTTAATAACTAAAATAAGTCCTTAAGCTCCTTAACTTTAACTTAAAGGGGGTAAAGAGTAATTCTTAGAGCTATTAGAGATAAAGCTAGTCTCTTCTTACTATAAAAATATATATTATAGTATAGACCTTACTTAAGATATAAAAGCTATTTAGTAATAACTAATATAGCTTATCTCTTTTTAAGGTCTTTATAAAGTAAGCTATAAAGTAATAGCTTAAATTTAGTAGGTACTTTATTATCTATTAGTAGTATAACTATCTAGTATATTTAGTAGTAGTAATTCCTATAACTAAATTATATATATAATATAGAGGTAGAGTTTAGGGATAAGAGATATTTAAGAAGTATAATATTAGCTAAGAATATATCCACCTTTTTATTATATTTATAGGATATATAGTAAAGCTTAAGGGCTAAGTAGAAGTTAATTCCTATTATTTTATATAGAGGGGCTTTACTAAGTTACTATACTCCTATAAAATTAGCTAGCTTAATTATTAAGGGTTTATCTTTAAGAAGAAGGATATTACTAAGTTTAATATCACTATATATAATATAAAGGGAGTATAGCTAGGTTAATATACTAATTATCTAGGTTATAATAGTAAGGATATTATATTTATTAAGTAACTTTATTAAGAGAGTATTAGGAATCTATTTTAAAATAAGCTATAAAGACTTTATCCTATCTATATAATATTAAGTAATCTTAACTACTTTAATAATATATAGCTATTACTATTTAGCTAAATAGAATATAATAAGTAGAGGATTAAACTTATATATTTAACTTATTATAAAAAATTTAGCTCCTTGCTTAAAGCCTCTTACTCCTTCTTTAATATAATATAGTTATAATATTTATAAAATAATTCCTTAATAGTAAAAACTATATTTAATTTCTAATTATAAACCT